GCTTTAAGAAATGTTCCTGCTCCAGAGAGAAAGAAATTTGGGTGGGGGGGAGGGGAGTTGTAACAGACACTACGTTTAAGGTGGAGGAACAAATTTTCCGGCTCAAGAGGTTCCCAGGCAATGCCCGTTCGTCCTTCTGGTAGAAGTATTGGTGAGGGAGGACGAAGCTTTAGGAAGTGAAAATTAAAGAGTCAGAATTTTGGCAATGAAGAGAACTTGGGCGGGGGTTTTGAAGTAAAAACTCTATGGCTTGAGTCCGCAAGCAAACTATACCGACCGAGCGACCGCCGCTTGTCGGGGAAATTAGTACCAACTTTAGCGGATAGAGAGTGTCGCGCGGTCAGCGCAACGAAGTCCCACTGCCATTAACCTCGGTTTTCTACACCGGAGCCGCTATTTCCTTGAAATAGCTCAATTATACTCAAGAGGCTGAGTGGACCCCGTTCCAGACCCACTACTTCCCAGAAAATCTTGTAGCACCGAGAATCGAACCCGGGACCTCTAGATCTGTAGCCAGGAACTGTGACCACTAGACCTCAGTACACCATAAAGATATGTGGGGAGTGGACATAACAGCTCAGCGCATTCTTAACCTCCGCAACGTATGAGGTGAGTGGTCAGCTTCACGCTTCGGCCGCTTTACTATCAAGGAAAGAGTGTGAGCCCTAGGGCCGGTCTCGACGCTGTGGGGTAGATGACATGTCTTGCCCCTAACGGGAATTGAAGCCCGACTGTTCTGATTCCCAACGCACACTCCAGTCTCTACAGGCCTACCCGCTGTTTTGTCTGACTTTGCGTCTTACAGCGAGTAGGAAATCCTGAAGACTGAACGAGATTTCTGTTAGTTGCCGTCTTCTGCTGAAATAATCTGGTGACGACGTCAAGCTCAGCCTCTCTGGTGACGACACTTCCTTACAGATGTCCCAGACACACTGCGGCAGTTATACTTCGGTTGTATGTAGTTACGTTAATGTGTATTTGATGTATAAACTCGTCAGAGAGGAACACGACACAGACCCCCGCGCCCCGCGCTGTATGATTAAGAGATCCGAGCGAGCGAATGGAGCTCTGGAGACGTGTAAATGGAACCCACTTCAAATCGTGGGGCCAGAACGTGACTGCAGCGAGAGCGGTAGTTCAGTGGGCTACCGCAAGGCGCGCTTTATGCAAGATGGATGTGTTCCGCCGTCAGGTCTGTTAATTAGTTCTCTGAATCGGAATTGCATTATGGACCACTCAGTAGTGTTCTTGGTGCGCGCGGCACACCTGTTCAGTGAGGCTCTGTTTCTATCAGACAAGAGCCCACTTGCATTAGCAAGACTTTGTCATTGTGTCCTATTGCATTAGTCAGATTACAGCAGTGTTTGTCAAAGTGTGGGCCGCAAAGTTCTATGAGAGGGATGGCCGAATTCGTAGAAATTATTCAAGAGTTCTAGGTAGCTGAGATTCGCCAAGTCAGTAAGACTGAATAAATACAGAAGCCTTCGTGACTGCATGAACTGCACGTGTAGAGAGGCTGTAAAGCTATTTGGGTTCCTGCTGTCGCCATACAGCCTGACATGGATCTGCAACAGTGTGTAGAACTGCACTTTTCGTGACTGTACAGGAACATTTTACATCTTACTGTAAGTGTAGAGAGGCTGTAAAGCTATTTAGGTTCCTGCTGTCACCGTACAGCCTGACAGGGACCTGCAACAGTGTGTAGAACTGCACTTTTCGTGACTGTACAGCAACATTTTACATCTTACTGTAAGTGTAGAGAGGCTGTAAAGCTGCTTTCATCCCATCACATGGAAGGTCGTGGGGACCCGGCGGTTACAGGTTTACAGTGCAGGTTCCGTACATTGTGTAGCACAAAGATGCCAAAAATCAATTGTCCCATCTTGTGTTTCAATTGAATGAATCGTTTTACGTATTGTTTATTTAATGATGAGGTCATTACCTCAGACTGTTAGCATCCATGGGTAGGAAGATTGGCAAATATTTAGAAAGCATTTTGAAGCAAGAAACCATGACTTAATTCGAAGCAGTATCCTGACCATCCTGTAGGTACTGAGGAAGAACAGGACAGATTACAGGGTAGTCTTTCTGCGAGGTAGAGAGCCGAACCCGGACCTCTGAAACATTTATCAGGTGTTTATTTAACGACATTAGCGCGGAATGGTAGAATGGTTAGAGTAGCGTGTGGGTAAGGATACGGAATAAAGTGGTCGTGGCCTATTTTGAGACTATATCCAGTAATTTCCCTAGAAAGACCGAGGAAAAGCACAGAGTGGTGTGCCCTGGGCAGTAACATCTGGTCTTGTTTCGGTTTGCGTCTCATTGCAAGCCGAATTTCACAATCTCAGATCACTGGGCTATCCAGTCTCTTCGCACAAACATGAGCTGTGCTCAGAAAAATCCAATCGCCTCTCGCCTCTGCAGTGTAGATCTCAATTCCAATTACGAACTTCCATTCCAGCAGTTCGACTGCGTGGAAGAACATTTCGCTACTACGAGGGCTGACGCACGCACACTTGTGAACATTCTGAGAGTTTTTAACGAGGGCTGAAGAAAGTTCAAAATATCCCCCAATCACGAGGAATTCTTATCGCGACTAAGATAACTGCTTCACAGCAAAAATAGACACACGCAATTTATGTTCCCCTGTTCTGTTCGCTCCAAGAGTTTCCGTAAAATGAACGTCGCCATAAAATGCGAGGTTTTCACAGCTGTGAAGGTTTAGGCAGTAGTTATGATACCTCGTCAAGCACAGCGGTAATTAGATTCTAAACGCTTCTGACAACTGTGTGAATCTGACAGGGGTTGTCCAGTGATTGAGGTTAGCTCTTTCTAAGAGACCCAGCCGAGTAGGTGTCTCCCTCCCTCGCCTCATGACTGAAACACATCCACGTCGAGCTTTCTAGTTACTAGAATACCGGACCATGGAAAAAGTCCAAAACTCCAGTATTCCTGAGTGACAAGGGTAATTATATGAACCAATGGATTACTATTCATAATCTGGATTTTCTTCCAAAAACATCGCAGTTGTATTTCGTTATCATTCTCAGAAGAAACAACAGTTGTTTCCTTAAGCGACTGGCCTTAGTAAAGGGAAAGCACTGTGTTTCCTGCGAGACAGACTGGACTCTTACATGTTGTTTGGATGAACTGACGCTATGGTTAGTGACTTGAATGCAGTAGTGCTACCCATAATCTAGGCTTGCACCCAGAAGGTCCCGCAACAGGTCAACTCCATAAGGTTCTAAGTGGTTTTCCTCTATCCTAAAGAAAATTGTGAGTTGGTACATAAATTCTACGCTGCATTGCATGCCTCACTTGGAACCCTCCAAATGTTGGGTCAGAATTTCGCCCTAATGCAGTTCTCCCAACGATAAAATGTTACTCTATTGGGGCGCTTCAAAATTCCAAGGCCGCTGCTAAATTTCTGTCCTTTGCACATCACAACATTCACTTCCTAATGCTTTACCGTTTTCACTTTCCAACACTTCTCCCCGTCTCAGACGCACCTGTACCATTATCAGAAGGACGAGTGGACACTCGTCAAAGCAGGAAACAGTTCTCTGCTCCCTTCCCCCAAAACGTATTGTCCCCGTACCCTCCCTTCCACCCCACGATTGAAAGCGTTGAAGTGCAAATGCACTTGTGATGTGGTACGAGCTGTGAAGCTGTCCCTGTGCTCAAGGAATTAAGCACTACGCCATGAAGGAGTATGGGGCAGTGGATGTATAGATCCACTTTTCTTTATCTCGACACTAGGTGGAGGTGAGTGGTCACCTTCACGCCCCGGCCACTTTACCTCCGGGAAAGAGCCCCCGGTACCCATTGGATTGGAAGTTGGACCCAAGAACTGGTGTGGACGACTTGGAGAAAAGAAAATTCTTGACCCTACCGGGACTCGAAATCGCACCCATCCGCCGTCCAGCCCGTAACCACCCGCTATAATGACTGCGCTACCCCGGCCTCTGGTACATGCTTTATCTCCAAGAGAAGGAACCAACAAAGATTTCTGCAGGTTAATTAATTCGTAATTGTGTTCCCATGAGAACTGTTTCACCGCCATGAGCAGTCTCAACTTCCGCTGAGCTGGACCCTGACCGGCCGCCTGAGCGCACCGCACCCACAGCCGGTTGCTTCTGTCTCATCCTCACGGCTTCCTGTGCGGCTGGGTTCTCCACAAACGCCTACACACGTCTACAGGGTGGGCGCCCAAGCACGGTACACTGACACTGAGGATCACTCTCCTTCCGCCGAAAATTCACACGAAAGTTAAAGAACTGCAGACAGCTTCGTGCTGTTCTGAGGCAAGCCTCAACATCTGTAAGAACGGTACTGAAACAGCAAGTTAGTCACTAAGCATACAGTGAAAGGAAGAACAACTTGACAACAACACAGATCCCTAACGCTGCCCGGACGGCAAATAACACCCCAATTTCCCGTCTTCACAAAATAGGCACGAAGACACACACCTCAGCGGTTCAAGATTTTAAATATTCAGAAAACTGATAATAATTCGAACACCTTTTAACTTTGAAATTAAAACTGTTTATATAAAAGCTTAAGCATAGGCCTATATACTATGATGTATGTAATAGTAGTTCCTTATCATGTTGTTACTGTCTTCTGAAAATGGTCACAGCTGACCTAAGATACGTTTTAATAGCATCCTCCCGTTTAAGCCTAAATTTTCCGGCTGGTTTCTTTCTTCAGGTTTCCCTATTAAGTCTGTGCGCATTTCTCTGATCCAACACGCATGCTCTCTTTCGCCTGTTTCAATTTTAGCATTCAACCCGCCACGCGGCGGTGCGCTCGTAGTCTTCGCTACTGGTGGCGTTGCTAACGTAGAGGTAAATTTGTCTCTACATAAACATTATGCTATGAACATGGATGGAGGTGAATAATCTGCTTTACCCATTTCGTTACACATTGGGTCCACCCAGGAGCTGGTTGGGGCACCGTGGACAAAAAAAGTATCTGACGTGTGTTCTCCCTGTTCACAGGACCTGAACTGTGGACCACGCAGATCAGAGGGTGTGCAACATGCGTGAGCACACCACTGGCTGCTGCCACGGAGTGACGACCGGTGTGTCTCGAAACGTCGGAAATAGCAGCATCACAGCGGCGTGAGTGATGGACCGCCATAATGAGAGGCTGCAGGGCTCCTCCGGGTGCTGAAGGCGTCGCGATGGAGGAGCGACGCCACCAGCGTCATCCCGGGTGACGGCTAGCCATGCTGCTGCATTTCCGCGTGGCAAATCAGTCACGTGATAGCGTCCTCCCGCTCGCCTTCCTCGTGCTACCGTCGTTTCTGTTATTTGGTGTGGTCGTGGAAGCCCAAGGCGTGGGTTCGCTGCATGCCAACAAGTACAGTACTCGGGTGGTGAGGACCAAATACGGCCCACTCAGAGGCGTCGTCCTTCAGCAACTGCACCCGCAGGTCGAGGCGTTCCTCGGCGTCCCCTACGCTACGCCTCCTGTCGGATCCCTGAGGTACATGCCTCCTGTGACCCCCTCCATGTGGCGGAATACACGTCACGCCGACTCATTCTCACCGGTGTGCCCTCAGAGACCGCCCGACATCGGGAATCGAACCGAGGCTTTGCTGGAACTGCCGCGTGGCAGGCTGCTCTACCTGGAGAAGCTGCTGCCTCTCCTCGTGAACCAGAGCGAGGACTGCCTGTACCTCAACATTTACGTTCCTGTCGGAGGTGAGTACAGCAACTTGTCTCTCAGATGTGCAGTGTATTGTTATGCGGCTACAGAGCACAGAGATTTATATAGAGCCTGCGCCTGCGCGTAGCTTCGCATGCTTTCAGTACAGATACCAGGACCCAGTATTCAGCACTGGTAGCAGCGTGCAATTGTCGGGGTTCCCCGTTTAATGTCAAGGATGAAGCTCACAACTGCTGCCACCTGCGGGACAGTTCACATTTCTTCGTCCATGCAGAGCGCCCAATCGGAGTCGGTTCCCCAGAGGGGGGATAGATCAGCAGCACATGTACCTGATGAAGGAAACAGAGACAGCTTCCGAAATTGCCTGATATGTGTCAGCCCAACGCGCATTCCGCTCGCATTTCTGCCGTGACGTGGGAATAGACTGTCTGTGAGGATCGGCGTTACCGCGGCAGTGGTAAGACAAGAGGGTTACCACTCGCATCGGGCCGTGAGAGCGAGCCTCCATCTCTAGAGAGAAACTTGAACATTAGCCTTGTAACTTGTATGCTTATTTTGAAATATACAAGCTCAAACAATTTGCTTAAGTGTTATCCCAAAGTTCTGGAGTAATCCCGCTTAACCCACGTATATTCTCTAACAGAAATAGAGCACAAAGGCCATATTCACAAAAGGAAATTCACTCCAGCTCTGAAATTGCGTACTCACGAGATTAAATTGCCAGTAATCCCCCTCACTATAGGTTCACAGGATCGATAAGCAATGCAGTTACATGCACGGCACTAAGAATATGCAGCAGGAAGATGTGAATGTGATTCAGCTAATTCGCTTAGGTCGGAGTAAACATCGTCACCAGTTCCACTAACGCCCTGAAGAGAAAGTGGTGTAGGGCGATGCCGAGAGGGGGAAACAGAAAAAGTACTGTTACGTCACTTCGCGCATGCCATTAAAGTAAATGCCGCAGAGAACGTACAACCAGGGGAAGTAGGTCTAGAGAAAAAGAGGTGGAAGTTGTAGTAGAAGAGAAGGTAAAACTGGAAAGTCGTAGGAGTGAAAGACACTCTACTGTTAGGAGAGGAAGAGAGGTTTCGCCCGCTGGTCCTTCTGACAAGCGAGTGTGAAAATGAAGAGGTTAAGATGGTTAAAAGCAGTAGCTTGAGACAGGAGCCGCGGTATTTTTATTTTCTGGATTAATGTCGATATATTTTCTCACAAATAATGTCAATGCTTTTGACAGCAGTGGGGTTTAAATCTGATGAATTTAAGTCAGAAGGGGTGCATGAAGAGCATGCAAGAGCAGCTGGGGAATTGGGAACCTTCTCAGAATTTCCTTAACGAAAAGTGGCCCCATTTTTGTCTGACTAATACGTAGAAGTTGAGTTCATACCGTATAGAAAACACAACTATGTCTCCACTACGAAGCCCAACCGGTTAATGCTGTTTGTTGTGACAATCATATGGAACACACAAATAATATAGAAATTCAGTTCGTACCTCACAGGAAACGCATTACGTCTCCGTTACAAAGCCCAACCGGCTAATGCTGTTTAGGGAAACGGTCGCTATTAATTGTGAGAACCATACGGAACACACAAATACTGTGAGGGCAGAATGCAGCGTTCTGGAATGTGAGACCATAAACCTGTATAATAGACGACAGTGCTTTGAAGGTTCAGTGGTGTTAGAACATGGGCTACTATGATAAGCCGTTCAATGTTGTCCTCTGTCCGCTAATGCTAACTCTATCCATGAGCTTTATGGCGCTTATTCGCTGCTAGCATTTCCGTTTATGTCGTCATATACTCGTATTTGTCACATAATATGAAGGCGCATAAAGCATCGAGCGTTTTGTAACACAGGGCACACCGTCTATTTGTGCTCTTCTGTGTTAAGACTCCCTATAATCTTCTGAGTAGTTACCAGCCTTTCGCGGGAACCTGCTGCCTCATCTTCAGGATAAGAATCTACACGATATTAATACTCAGAGGAAAAAAGTTTAAATTTTCAGAGATGAGAACATTTCAAATCGTATCCCCTAGACTTAACACAGACTCCTGCTTTCGACACTGTAAAGTATAGTCGTAAAAGAATCACCATATGCTTCAATATTAAAAAGTCTCTGCATTTTCCCAACACACTATTTCAGTTTCATACGATTATCAGAATAAACAACGATCATTTCTCTGAACAGAATTAACCGGTACGTCGTTATAACGGAGACATATTACGTTTACAGTGAGGTAAGAATGGAATATATATTGTGACATGTAGACCCTCTGACAAGCAACAGCCATGTAAACAGGCGACAGTGCAACAGCCGTGGCTAGGGAACAGCTCCCTGGACACTTTCCCGGCAACGAGAGAACAGGCAACCGGTTGAGTCAGTTGAGATTTGCAGTTGTGAGACGTGAGAAGCGGGTAGCTGATGCCGGGAAAAGTTTGTGAACACAGAGGAAGTGGAATGTCCACCGTTGGAAACCGCTACCAAGCACCGGTTAATAAAAACTGAGAAGGCTTCATGTATGCTGTAGTTACAGTAATCTTCGGAAACTGGAAGTCAGTGAGAATGTCGTAGTTATTTGTAGTTACGTTCTGTAAATGTTCGTGAAACTGAGTTGCCATTCGAAACCCCGTCTCTAGTCACCGAATCACGCGAGAGTATGAAGGCTTTTAATTATATAAGGATCGAGCCACATTCGGGTGACTGTTTTCACCTGTCAGTATATTCCTGCCCCCTTGTTCTGTAACGTAAGGAGCAACGGAGTGGCCGCCGTGGTGCGCGAGATGCAAAGTAAGCTCATACAGCTCAGCAGCCCTGCTCATCTTACTGGCTTACATTGCGAACTTATTTCGCAGGGGACGCCATGTGCAGACTTCACCTCGACAGTTACAATTTTCATAAGATTTGTTTACTGACTCAGACATTTCATAACCTCAGGCCCAGCCGCCTAAAGCTGCTTTGCCCCACACAATTTCGTCTCTTTAAATTCTTCTTCCTCTTCCTTTGTGTTCACCTTCCTGTCATATAAATCTTCTGCAATGGAAGCATAAGCATATTGTTGTCGTCTCCATGGTGACACGTTGCAGCTCAAATAATTCTTGAGGCATGCTCCAATATAAATCAAAGTGGAATGTTCGTTGAGAATTCCAGGGGAGAACATGACATTGCCCACCTCGGACTGCGGTTTCCACGTTTAATCCCCCCCCCTGCTTCGCCCTTTACGCCTTAGAGCCATCGAGGGACGATTTTGAAATCACGCTAGAAACTTGGAAAGTTTTAAAAGCTTGATAATTTTGTAGATGAAGCTTTCTAACAAAGCAAGCACTGCCATCCCCACTGACTCGCTGCCTTCTTCATGTTCTATCGTAACCATCACGTTGTTTCCATAGAAACGTCATGACGACAAAACAGCAGACACTGACCTGTTTAGAATAATTACATACAGACTGCAAGCATGTTATGTAAGAACATAGCAGGTTTACATTACACCTTCATCACGGTTTTCTCGGCAGGTAGCCGTGGAGGCGGCACATCCAGCGACGCTCTCAGTGTGCTGACTGTAATGACTGATCACTGATGAACTGGAAATGATCACGAAGAAGCCGCCGTCGCCTATTCTAAATACTACCCCGGAATATGCATGGAGGGACTGAGGAAAATCATTGAAATTCTCAGTCAGGATAACCAGTGTCCCTGCTGAGGTTTGAAGCTGACACTGCCCGAATACAAGTTTAGATCTTTATTGCCATACCAAAGCGGGCGACACGAATGCTCGACTACGTGTATTTTCACTACAACAGCGATCTGAACTCCAGGGAAGCGATCCTGCCGTGATTTGCCCGTATCTCCTTCACAGGCATACGGCGCCACAGAGCCAGACTGCCGCCCCTAAAAGTTAGACAGGCCCTCAGTCGCGAGCGTGGCTGAAAGCTGTTTACTTGCCAACGAGCTAACTTAGGAGCGAAATTGCCAATTACAAAGTATGCAAAGCGAAGAAAAAGAAGCAGACATAAACACAAGCAGATTATGCCCCCGTACAGATGCGCTCACCACTCTAAATACGTCAAGTGGCGCTTCCATCGTCGTTAAGCGAACTCGCTGCGACTGACGCGAAGTGGACGTTACCTTACCATTTTATATACAGAGAGGGATAATAATGATGACATACTCTCCGTGAGCCAACCGCCTAAGCGTTGGGGCGAAACCGCCGCATATTTCTAATTTTGCATTAGATGGTAAGGTGAGTGTAGNACGTCAAGTGGCGCTTCCATCGTCGTTAAGCGAACTCGCTGCGACTAACGCGAAGTGGACGTTACCTTACCATTTTATATGCAGAGAAGCGTCACGCTTCGAACTCTTTACCCCTCGGGGATGGGTCCCATAGGCTGTTTGGGAATGGTGGCAAGAAGTGACTCTGTGGCTACACCGAGACTCGAACCCGTCATCCAGACCGTGGTCACAACAAAATAATCTTGCTAATAAATTACTGCTGTTGTAGTTGGGCGTGTGTTTTGTGCTGATCTTATAAATTCATAGTTAAATTTCACCATGGCCTTGTAATGAAGTGTACAAATTTAAAAGTTGACAGTTGCTTAGCTCCTCAAGGAATTCACTGTTTATACAACCTAAAGTTTCATTAACTTCTACCTTACTCCGAGCCAGCTGACTCCAGTCTTCATTTTATCTTTTTTTAACATCCATTTTGATCCCACCTGCTCTACTCTCTAAGAGATTTTTCAACATGTCTTAAGATTTTTGTATTATCCGTTCGCGTTCTGCACGTTTATTCCATAAATATTAGCTTACATTGGTCAGATATGGGCAGTGAAGCTACAGACAATAAATCGACCCTCTGTTTCATTGTCTAACCCGTCTGTAGGGCCTATTGTTATTCCTCATCAAGACAGTTTGGGGTGGGAGCACAGAAAGGCAATAGACACAGAATATTTTGAAGAAAGCAGTTTGCTTTACCGGTTCTCACGGTCTCTTCGCTTGCGGATCTTATATTTTTCCTTCTACCCTGAAGATGGAGGC